CCGACTATATCCACTATCCTATCCCTACAATAAAGGCACAAAAAGACCAAAAATTAATCTTTGAAAAAAATAAAAATAAAAATAAAACATTTGTTGCTTGACCTTGGGGGGGCGAGCCGCCCCCCCCCCAATATAATGGTAGGGGAAACACTGAGGTTTGATTTCATAGATCTCAAACTTTGCATTGGAAGTGGAGTACTTCACTTTCAGGCCCCGTATCTTGTATACACAATGTGTATGAATGAGTACCCTGGGCTTTTCATTGATGTTCCTGTTTTCCTGCAATTGATAAAAATCAGTGTGCCAGAGTCAACAGATTAGGAATTTATCAGTGGCTAAAAAAACTTGCTTCCTGCTCCTGACTTTTTCATGCTCGGTATTTCTCTTCTCCTTCTCTGCCTTTCACTTTGCCCCTTCACTTTCTCGCCCTGTCTTCTTTTAACGCATGTTCCTCCTCTCCTCCTCTCTGTGTGACTGGATGAGACCTGACAGACTCCAGTAAACCCTCTCTGCGTACTTGCCCATTAGCTCTGTCATGCGTTCAGCCTCCCTGACTGTGTGTGTGTTATAGAACAGAGTCAGCAGGCCCACCCGACCTGAAGACAGTGCCAAGGAGATTTCAGACTGGTGGCAAAACAGTCTCATGATGATATAATAATCTGTTCTGGATTAATGAATGCTCGGCTGCACTGTTGCCATGACCCACATTGTACATGTGTGAGGAGAATCTGCAGCAGTGTGTGCCAATGTGGGCTGATATCTTAATATGTTTCAAAAAAGTCAATTGTTTGTCCTTGAAATGTATCTTATTTTAAGGTGAAAAAAGTGCTCCAATTGAGTCTCTAAGTGGAAGATCATCTTCAGAAACCATAAATCACTTGATATGCTAAAGAGTTGGATATACCTTAGGCATCGATACACTTTATAGTAAAGTTTTAGCATGCAGTGGACCATTATTTGATTATAACGATAGAGCAGACTGGATGAGGTCATGATGGAGTATAGTCCATGACTGATTGGTTTTTATCTGTTCTGGCAGGTAGGTCACTAATCTCAGATAATTGGACGTTATGACCTGACATCTCCAACACTTTTTTTATTGGTTGTATTTTTTTCATCGTTATCGAGGAGGCTAGTTTAAGTGATTGCACTTTGAAATCAGTCATTATATCACCGCTTCAGGGGGCTTTTTTTTGACTTTCTAACATAGATTGAAATTAAGTCTCTGCTGGTTTTGTTGCATCATGTCTTCAATGCAGAAGAGGTGATGTGTGGGTTTGGACGATTGGCAGTGGTTGGAGGCCACCTTTCAGTAAGTGAAGTAAAAAGAGACAGTAATCCAGTTAGTTACTTAACACTGCTTCCAACGACCTGAACACAAATGAATACATGTCTTTAAAGCACCAGAATGTCTGAACTTTGGCACTCACCATACTGACAGCTGCTCAGATTCTTCAGAGGAGATAATGGAAACACTTCAAAGGATTTATCGTGGTGTGAGACTTCTGTGCTGCGCTGGAGTCTGCAGAGGTAATTGCATGACATGTTGTGCAGGGAGACAAATTTACCATTTAGATCCACTCCAATCTGTATGTTTAAGACTTCGTTTTATTTCATATGAGTTTTTTTAGGGGGACTTCTGATGTTCTTTCCCAGGAGCCCTACTTTTACATAATTTGTGTCTTAATGGCTGAGAGGAACAAATGGTTTTTGAATGGCTCGTGTATGTTGTCCCATCTGGTAGCAGCTAAATTGGCTGCGGTGTGGTTTTTTTTTTTTCAGGGGAAATTCTGAGCATGAAAACCTTCTGGCAATGTGGCAGTATTTGAATGTGGTACCCGGTCGGACAGGACCCTTTCTGCATTGTTTGCGTGTTCTCCTCGTGCATGCATATGTTCTCTCTGGGTATACTCCTGCTTCCTCCCACAGTTCAAAGACATGCTCATTAGACTAACTGGTGACTCTTTAAATTGCCCATGGGTATAAGTGTGAGTGTGAAATGTATGTCTGTATGTCAGCCCTGTGATTGTCATATATTCCCGGGTTAACCTCGCCTCTCGCCCTATGACAGCTGGGATCAGCTCTAGCCCTCCCTGTGACCTAAAACAAAGCAAGCTGTAAGGATAATGGATGGATGTATTTCTTGCATGCACACAGAAGACATTTGGAGATTTGAAAGTAATAAAACTACCGGATGAGGGTTCCTGACATTTTGAAGAGTAGATAAAGACCCTTCATTTGTATTTCATCAGGATTTCAAAAAAACTGAAAGAATGTTCTTGTCCTCTGACCTCCTGGAATAAAAGAAAAGAAGAAGATTTTCTATGAATTGAGACGGACTTAACAGACAATGCTATAGATTTAACATGCCTTGATTTGATTTGCTTTTTTTTTTTTTTTTAAAGCTGGTGTTCAATTTATGTGAAAATGTGGACCTAAGAGCCTAACCCTCTTTGATAAAATAATCTTTAAAAACGGAAATGTTAAAGTCAGTAAGATAGGCTTTAAGGTGGATGCTTGAGTTGAATATGTACCATTTGGAGGACATTTGAATGCAAAGCTTGCTGTATAATACAAAACCAAATCAATAAATGTTGATGCTCGTTCGGCTTAGTACGGTGGATGATTATGCATGTGTATTTGTACTTTTGTGTGAATGTATAGTATTCGACATGACATGTACCAGCACAGACCTGTACCCTTCTGTATTAATGTGACACTAGATTAAGACGGCCTCCTTTAATCTGACTTTACTGTACATGTATTAATGCTGAGAATGAATCATCCTGACAGGGTCATATATAGACGTGTGCATGAAGATTATCCATAGAGACACTCTTATATGTCACTGCGCTCAAGTCGTCTGTACAGCTGACCTTTAACCTTTTCAGTTTTTATTCTAAATGTAACCATAATAACATAATGGATATGTTAGGAAGGAGGAGCATGTGAAGGCAGCAATATTAAAGAATGTTGCTTTTAAAAAAAAAAAAAATGTTAAAGTACTATGAACTAGAGTAACCTTTTAAAGAACAAATTCATTCACACATTTTTAGATAAACATTGATGTATGAGCATGAGGGATGTGCACCTTCCTCTTTTCCTAATCATCAACATTTATCAACGAGAATCTAAAGTGCAACCACAAAAAAAATCCTGGAGGGACTGTTCTCCATAACAAGTTAATTGTTTTAATATCTCAACATGACTTTGCCTTACACTGAGGGGATGTTGGGAGTCTGTAAATACTTCAGAATAACTCATCCATAATCCATAACCACAGCTGACTCCAAATATGTCAGTCCAGTATGTGTGTGTTTGGCATTTAGGGCATATCCATCTGTTGAATCGTAATCCATGAACTGTGATGTAATTGAAGTCAGTGTCGATGTGATTGCATGATTTTGGTCTCATGAATCTGTGTGAGAGAGACAGAATGAATATTGTGTAAGAAGATTACAAACTACAGCATTATTGTAGATGTCACAAAACTGAGCACAATCCAAATTACAACAACGGCGACAGAGAAATAATGAAACAACAACAACGTTCGTGTGTGACGTTTTTGTTACACATAGAGGGGTGAATTTGTCTCTGTGTTGCTTATTTCAGAACATAAAAAAAAAACGAGTATTCATGCTGCTTTACACACATGTTCTACTATTGTGTAAGGCACTGAGCTCTGCCTGTTGTGCTCTTATGAACACTGCAGATAAAATGAGGATTTTTGTTCATTTTGTCTGCATGTTGGATTTATGCAGCAGTGTGTCAGCTTTAAATGTCGACATGATTAACTGGTACTGACAGCTGCCTGTGCATCTGAAGCATAAAGGGTTTTGTTATTCAGGGGGTAAATCTGCAGGTCACGATCCTCCGTGGTCTGTTCCTGAACCTCTCTGTCCGACCGACCTTCACTTTTGATACTCTGCTTCTGTGGAAATGTTGCATTAACTACACCGTTCACACATAAATACAGCAGAAATCCAGTATATCCTCTGTAAATATCTCTGAGTCATGACTGTCTACAATGAGTGTTAACGTGTGAGTCCCGCTGTCTGTGATGTTAGCTGAGCCGTAGCTACACTGCGTTTACATGGATGGGACGGCCCGCCGGCTCATCCCCTGTCGTATAAAAGTTGTTTAATTGAGGGACTAGAGAAAAGAAGAATAACATACTGTACTCACTGCTTATTTGAAAGTCACATAAGCGTTTTTAGATCATGGTCATTCCGTGTAAATTTACGTGCAATGTGAAGCTTGGAGCAAAATAAAGAGCGCTAGCATTAGCATGCTAACACAACAATGCAGCTTGAGACAAGGACAATTTTGTTCTGCCGCTTGCACTTAGCGCTTAGTGCTTAATTATGGCGTGTTCCAATTTGATAACTCTTTTGCGGAAAACGCTAGGGGAGGGGTTTGGAGGTGTGTTGCTGTAGGAGAGCGGAGGATTCAGTATGGCGGAGGTGTCGCTAAACAGCAGTTTGTTTTGGTTTCATGCTGGTGCTCAAGGGGCGACATCTACTGGTTAAAAAAGTCCATTCTTCCTCTAAGTCAATGTAATTTAAATGACTTGTACTTGCTATATTGTCAGTGGATTACTGCAGGGATTTATTCCTGTTTGAGAATGTGTGTAAACATCATTAATCAGCACTTAACTGTATCAGTTATTCATGTGGTCGGATCGGCACTTTTATTGTGTTTTTCGTTATTGTTGTGTTTGGTGTTTGGTTCAGAAGCACTTTGTTACTTTGCCTGAACAAATCAAGACGTTATAATCAATACTGCTCCGACTGTAAATCCAAGATGACTGCCCTTTAAAAACTGATACAGGAAACACAGAGCCGGTCAATTAACAATGGCCTTAAAATGTCAAACTAATTTTATGTTAATGCAATCTACCGAGTATCTGCATGAATAGTTTTACATTTGTCGTTAAAAGTTCAGTGTATGATAATAAAAAATGACGATGTTAACTGTTAATTGTGATCTTTTGTCCACAGGGACTCCCTGCATTTATGGTTACATGAATGTCAGCGCTGCAGGCCAGATGCCGGTGATGGAGGAGCTTGTCAGTGAGAGGTGAGCGTTCATCAATTTCAGCGTCAAATAATCTGTGTTTTTGATCCAACGCTTCGTGATCATGGTCCCAGACATTATTTATACACAAACGCTTCAAGACGTCCACCTTCTAAAGAGCTAAATCCCTCACTCAAATGAAAACTAATGACATTTAGTTTTCATGTTTTTAGGCCAACTCAAGGAATATGACCTTCTATAGCCTCTATAGATCCCATACTGTATAATGCATTATAACTGCATTTTAACTTTACTAAACGCGGACAAAACTGGACCAAACAACATTGGCTTTCAGGCCTGTCTGCTTTTGTGCAGTGAGTAAAAAATGAAACGTTTAACTCTTGACTCTGAAGAATGCATTAAAAAAAAGATCCTACAACATGAATAGCTGAAATCAGCAAAAATGAATACTCCCAGATGAAGATATCTCCAATGTACATCTTCAATAAGTGTCATGGCTTTTCTGAGAAATCATACAAAATGTTGCATTCCTTAAAATTTTAGGAATTTCTATGTTTTCATGAACTTAGATATTTCAATGTATCTCTCCTGTTTTTTTTTTCTTATGTCAAAAGGAATTTAGATATTTTAAGAGCTTACAATTTACAAACAGACGCCACAAAGTAAAGAAAATAGCATTTGCTTGCAACAGGTGAAAGCCTCAGATATTTAAAATCCACCCAGACACAACAGCTGCAGGATTTTGTATGCATCTGAATTTATATATACGCACACAAACGGCATCCATCTTCAAAGACACTTAATCTGCAATGAAAGCAGACTCTGCTGCTGTATTGTGTAACCATAAAGTCTCAAATGTCAGCAGGTTACAAAAGAATCGACTAACCTGGTGCCTTCTTCAAGGTCGTTTTCATCTTAACTTTATGGTTCATCTGAGGAAACAATAGACTGTGTGGGTTTTCTCCTGTGCTGCTCACTGACTGTTGTTCCCCCTTAGGCCTGTTGGTTTGATTACAACAGTGACCATGCTGAAACTGTTTGCAGTGTTTTTTTCCTTTTGCTGTGGATCGCAAAGAGTCATTAGATTGCTAGCTCTTACTGGCTAATGATGTCCTTTAGCCTGAGGGTGATGCAGAGATCCTCGCAGTAGGAACACATTTTTAATAACTTACTTTGAGCATCAGACTAATGAGACAGAAACATTACAATCCCATGATTAGAGGGAGGAAAGTCACAAGTTCAGTACTTTAAGAACTCTGTGGTTTGAGAATAGGTAATGTTTGAATGATTCTGAATCATGCAACAGTGTAAAAAAAAAATCACAGATTTCAGTCTAAATGGAGTTGGTTTGAACACATATGGCTGAAATCAGCACAAATGACTTCTTCTAGATATCCGTAACGCTACCATAAATTTACAGTAAATGTGCGGACACTTTTAAACATTTAAATTTTACATTTAGGGTTAATCGTTAAAGCTTATTTTAAAAGCTAATAAGCTTTTAAATAAGCTTTAATTACTTCATGCACTAGTGGTAGACTTTGCATTTGAAGTCACTGTCAAGTGATCACATTTTTTAATGGTGATTAATTACTGAAATGTTTAATAGTTATTTATCACATTTTAATTACTGTACATGTTTTTATTTTCCATTATTTTGTATTTCAATAATGTTTTTTTATGCCTTTATTTCGTATTTGTGTCTTAAGCTAATGGTACTTTACTTTTATTTTGAAAGAAAATAAGGAACATGTGGCAGACCACAGGTTACAACATTAACTTCCGGAAAAAAGGAATTTGTTATGGAAATGAAAAGTAACTGAAAACAGCTAAAGAGGGCGATTAAAAAAGCTAAATATCTAATGTCAGAAGGTAGATATTGCTCTTAACTCTTCAGCTGAGTTGTCTCAGAGTTCGATCAAAACAATAACAAAGGATGAAACCCCGAGCAACAGAGCATCAGTAGCAGTTCCTACCTCCTTATGTAGCGGTCTTTGACGTAACGTCCATGTGTTTCCACGGCAACAGTAAACAAGACACTTCCTGTTATAATTATAAACTTAAGGCTTTCTCAGGCTTTGATAACTGTTGGAAATAATTGACGTAAAGTTAGTAATCAACAAAAAAAAAAGATTTTGATCAAATTATATATTTGAATGTAAACGTTCTAATACAGTTCTACAGATTACACCTTTAATGTCTTCACTTAGTATTTCTTTTAGCTTTTTTTTTTTTTATCTCCACCAAGCTTTAAAGAGAAGTACAAAAACCAGTTTAAATATGTTGCAGAAACTAGAATGAGCAGTTGATGTTGTTGTTATCAGAGGAAGATAGAAGGCTGCGGAGGTTTGGTGGAGATTTATATTTACAGGATTAAGTGGGAGGACTAATGTCTTTAAGAGTGTAATGAAAGCTTTTTTATGAGCTGCTGTGGTTACATTATATGACCTACTTTTGATTTGTGGTGCTCTGAGCGGATCCATCCCTCTCTGATGGCCGTAACACGAAGCCCGCCAGCCGCCGTGAACAGACGCAAATGGCCTCAGGAGTTTGATGTGTGACACAGAGTCAGATGACACATCCGCCAACGCAGCGCCCGACATACACACTGTACCTCTGTGTGTCACATGTGTTTAGTGTGGTCACACATGCGTTTTTGTGTTGTTTGTTCTGTCGATGACACAAATGAAGACAAGGTGACACAGAGGCAGGCGTACACACAACCATTACTGTTTGTTAGGAAGATCATCTCTGACGCCGAATTAGCTTCATTGGCCCGGATCTGGCACTATGGCAGCATAATCATTTCTTATACCTTTTAGCATCTGTTTCAAATTCCGGCCACATTTTGTTAGCATCCTTGCACATTTTGTAATGAGCTTCTGCGTCTAGCTACCACAGTATTAAGCATGATCTTTGGGACAAATAATCATGCCACATGCTTACATTATACAGGCAGCTTTAAGAATAAAACCATAATGATCTAATATTCTTTGTGATGACCCAGCTCAAGGGCCATGACAGATATGGGAAGGACACGATAGTCAACTTCAAATAATGATTATTGTAAAAAAGGTAAACCATTCAATGTAAAATTGCAAACATGGAGTGTGTCCGTCAGTAAAGTCAGTAGTGTAAATGTGGATGTGTGGCATAATGAGTTGTGGGGATAATTAAGCAAAATATAAAACAAAGACGGAAATGTGCAAATGATGGTGGCATGAGAGAGAGCGAGAGAGCGAGAGAGCCACACTGGGGTCTGGCTTTTATGCAGCAGGCCCAGGTGCTCTGGATTGGATCAGCCGAGTCCTCTAGGAATAAGGGAGACAGAGCTAATTAGTAACCTTAATTTATAAACAGTAGCCTGTTTATAAATCACTAAAAATTGTGAAAGTGGTGTGATGACACATTCATCAGGTCACACAGATTTGATGTAACATTGTTGTGTGGTGAATGCACAGATGGTTTGAAGTCATTATCATATGATCGTGATTATCAAAATCACATCTGTTCAATTGGAACTTTTAATTTCAAAATGTATTACATCACAGGTACGACAGATATTACTATATGTTTGCCTCTGTTCATCACCATTAATAATCAAATCATCCACGTATATGTTTATTACCATGATAGGTTTATATTTTTATACTACTTTACCAAAAACAACATCAGACGTTGCTTACAAACCATTCCAACAACAAAATACAACTATGTAGGGATGAACATGACAGAACATCAACTAAAACAGCTCTGGACGTCTATCTACACAGAATAGGATGCAAATCATGGTCGATTTATTAGTGTTTATTTATTTTTTTTCCATACATTTTTTTATCAAGTAATTACTGCATGCACTTTAATGCATCATCATAAATACATATGTACAGTATTAATGCAGGTGTAGAAGAACCTGTCTTTCCACCTGGACTCTTGTTGAATAAAAGTTTTTAAAGCACACAGAGATTTAGGCTGCAGCAGCGTTATCTAAAATGGATCTTTCTTCAGTTTGGCCACCTTCAGATTCTATTTTGTTCACCAACCGGTTCAGACTGAATTATAATCAGAGGTGTTTGGAGCAAGCTATTCTGGGAATGCTTCAGTTCTGCAAAACAGAAATCACAGTCAAAGTCATAAACAGAATCTGTCTTTCTTGATTTCATCTTCAAAAATAGTTAACAAATCACAATCTGTAATGCATATTTCACAACTACAACACAGAACAACTTCATGTAAAACCATGAATGGGGCGCTGGTGGCGCAGTGGTTAGTGGTCTTCTGGGCGGACCGCCCGGGTTCGGGTCCCGACTGTGGCTCCTTTCCCGCATGTTATTTCCCACTCTCTTTCTCCCTGATTTCCAACTCTGTCCACTGTCCTGTCTCTCCATTAAAGGCACAAAAAGCCCCAAAATAAATCTAAAAAAAACCCCATGAAATTGACGTAATCTGATGTAATGTTTCATTCCCTGTAATTTAATGGGTAACATTAAAATTGAATCTCTGTAAATCCACAGAATTTCATTTTTTTTCAAATAAAACGGGAAAAAGCTGAAAGAAAATACAGATTTTTTTTTTCTTTAAACCTGTGGTGGATGTGTCACAAAGGTAAAACACAGTAATGTCATCAATCAGTGTCGCTAGCATTGACAGCAACCCTTGAAAATTGAAGGAGGTTTGGATGTGCACAGAGAACAAAGGAGAGACTGAAAGAGCTAAATGTGTCAAATAGTTTGAACAGTCTGATTGGCAGCAAAAGTCAACAGCCTGCTTCTTGTTTGACAAATGTCAAATGTGGTGATTTTTTTTCATAAAGACATTTTCCAGCATTTCCACTTTTTGATGGAAAAATAATTTGTGACGTTCACGTTTCAGTAGCGAGAGCCATCGTGTGAGAAGACCCTACAACTCTGAAAGAAAAGTGTCCCAGTATGGAGACTCAATAGCCCCACAAATGGTAATGTCAAACCAACAACTAATGTTTCGCCTGTCAAACACATCCTGCAGTGCAATAGCTCATAGAGGTTTTCTCATGACCATCGAGG